TCCAGGTTTCATCGCTTTTCGGAACAGCTATCCGCTAGGTGATTCGGTAGCTCGTCGCCGGGTGCATAGTCACCGATGCAGGCTGACGCGCGCACAATCGTGTGCACGACCGCCCCGGCCCGACGCGACGCGGCCGCGCTATAGCGAATCTTCCGGAGTCATCTCGAGAGTGGCGGCGTGTTCTCGCGATACAGCCATCATTTCGTTTTACTGCTCTCCAAGCGCTGCATCAGCCGACCGTGCTTGGAAGCCTTTGCGACTATCTCGGTCCTGCATTCTTTTCCTCCTGGACCCGGAGCACTTTGACGCGCGTCGTTGCCCTGACCCGCATTTGCTTAAGTTGTCTGCCTCCCCCGGCCGCTAAACTCTCGCAGCCGGCGAAGCGCAACCGGTCCCGCACTGAATCCGCGTTCAGGGCACGTTTACGCCGCTGCGGGATGACCCCGGTGCACACTGCCACTTCGCGATGAGATTCTTCCAATGAACCGTGCGGGAAATCAATTTTTTTCTGGTCACGTCGAGAACGTTGCTTCTAATCTATATTACGATGCACCTGATCCATAAGTGAGTTTCATGGGTATTTGAAGATTGAGACGTGACTTTGAAGAGACAATTGTGAAGATATTGTGGTAACGCGTCAGGATAATGGCCAATTCCTGATTCGCTCGCGATTACCGGTAATTATGATCGCTACGAGATTATCGGAATGAGTTCGTTAAAAACCGTGCAACCGATCTCTTTCGTTTCTCGCGCATGTGGGAAAGAATTTGGAATCTATCCTTGGTTCCTTGGAATATGTGTAGTATCTAGAATTTTTAGCGTAGGTTAAGGTATTTTTAAGAAGAGTGAACGTAAGAATGAGTGTGAGTGAAGGACAGGCTGTAAAACGGTCGAGGGAAGTGGCCTGCACAACGATGCGGACCCAAGATTGCAGGACCAGCCTTCCAGGGGTGCATCCGAGTGTTTGTGACGAGTGCAAGTGAGAAGAATGCTTGTGGGGCAGAGAATGATTTTTAGGAGAGAATGCCTGTGAGAGAGTGGCGGGAGCAGATTCGTGTATTGGCCTCCGTGGCATTGAGTCGTACTTTATTGTGTTGTCCGTGTTGTTTCCATATTTTATTAAATACATATATTTATCCCTAGTTCTCGATTACTCAAGATCCACTCTTTCAATATCTATAATATAGTACCACTATAATATGTAAATTGGATAGTGATTTCTGATTTTGATCAAGTAATAAAGTCGCGGTACGAAAAGGAAGGTTAATTCTAGCGTAAGGTAATTGAACGGTTTCTAAGTAGTTTGAGTGGTACAACGTTTACGCTAGTCGGTCCCGGGCCAGTTCGAGCGCCTTTCGTTTCATTCCTTGGACTACCGGCGCACTCGTAACACCGTATTTATACCGTGCCGGACAGCGGCGGCGTAAACGTGCCCTTACACCGACGTGAAACGTAAAAACCGAGAACCCTCCGAGACGGAAGTACGTTTCCATCGGGCGTTCCCGCGGCTACGAGCGTGTTTTTAACCGTGACACAGATTCGCCCCGCTTTTACGAGCAGAATTACCTCATTTGCGACGAGATGCGTTGACGTAGCGGAGGGACAACGGAACGCTAAACGTCGGGAGACAGTGAATCAGAGCTTCCGCTCTTCCCCTTCGTTCCATTTCTTCCTTTTCCTCGAAGTTCTAGCGAGCCTGCGGTACCGGAGCCAGTTTAAGCCGATGGTCCGCTCGAAATGAAACTGCAATTGCGCCTGTTGAACCGTGTGACCCAAATGCCGGCGCGGAGGTGTTCGTGGATGGCCTGTCATTCCCGCGTCACGGAACGTCAGGCACCGTCGGGCAAGAATATTCCGACGTGACGGACTGTTCCCTCGGTGACGTGGACTGCGAACGGGCCGATCGTCGCAGCCAATCGGCAACCGGTTGCGAACGGAACGCGTTCGCGTAAATAGGATGCGACGACGTGTACCATTGACACGGGTATCCTGTCCGTCGTCATCGATTGAATAACGATTTCGGAAGATCGGAACGAACCATTCCCATCTCCCGACGGAATATTCGCTAATGATCGAGGAACTATCGACTTGACGATGGCAAAAGTGACCGGAAAGAGACAACGGACATTCAACATTCAGAGTTTTCATTGAACTTGGAAACTTAATGTTAAACGTGAAAGTAGATTGACAAATTGTACTTATTTTGCTTCGAGCTTAATTCCATTACAGATTCGCTGAAAATTATTTTTGAACGATAGTTTTCGAACCACGATTGCGCAAGCGTATTAAAAATCAGGCGCGCAGATTGTCAGCGGCCGCCTCTATTAATCTCAATCCGGTGTTAAACTCCGGAAGATTCTTCCGCGACGCGTGGCTTTGCGCTTTTAAGCGGCATAGTCATCCATAAAGTCACACCTTCATCGTTCCGTCCTCCAATAACATCAATTTCCCAGAAGAGTATTACTTTGCAAGTCGCGCGCGCGGCGGCGGCGCCATTATCGGTCGACGGAGGTGCACCGGCGGCCGGCCGGCCGTACTTCCGGTAAACAATTTTTCCTAGATAACGCGTGCCCCGCCGCCGACAACGTAACCCGGAGACGACGGAAAAGATGACGTGACATCCGTCTCGTTAATTGGCAGATAATTGCCCGTTGGAAGAACGCGCGATCTAATTTACTATTAAACTTCCTTCCGCGGCGAAGGACAAAGGGGTAGAATGACGGTGGGAAAAGATGGGGCTGCCGCCGCTGCGAGCCCGGGGACTCGGGGTATAATATGGAAGAGACGAGGGGGATTGAATCTTGTCGGTAATTAATGAGGAAAGTTTTACAAATAGCCGAAGGCAGAGTCACTAAACGCCTTAACAAGACCGTGAATTCCATCCGCAAGCAAAATATCTCGCGAAAGTTAGTTTTTAATTGATAATTATCTTTCCCGGTATAAACGGTAATCAGCGTCCCATTCCGTTTGTCTGTTCCGCTAATTGCTTGCTTTGCTACCGTGAATTATCGACTATTGGCGGAACTTTCGGCCAGCCAAAAATTCAATGCGCCGCGAAGAAACGATAGCCTTTCGTCTGATAAATATCGACAAGCTCTATGAAGTACGATATTCTCTTATAGAGGTACTTACCGATCCTCGGAGGAATTCGCTATAATATCCACCGTCCATCGCCCACTCGATGACTATCGGGATTGGCGCAGAATCTAGAGAGGTCTCCCGCTATGTTTCATTTATAGTTTCGATTCGATTATGTGTGTTACATTGACGAATATCGAATTAACCCCAACATGATTCAACAAATATATACATTACTCAGTTCATTGGAATTCAAAGTAAATATTATTCCTCTGTAATCAACTATTATACAAAAGCAAATATAAACACAACATATGCTTAGAACTTTCCTCCTTTTCCAATAAATTACTAAGGACAAAGTAGCCGTATCGATCAGAGTTGAGAAAGAGATAAGCCAAGGGGTTAAGGTCAAAGATAAAGTGAAAACTTATCACTTGGATATTCCTCAACCCAGCCACCAAGTGGACTGCAACATCCTGCACAGCCGCGGTACAATTTAAATAATATTCACCCTACATTTCCCATCAATCCCTTCCACGCTTTACTCGCTCCCGGAGCTCGCAAGATTCTCACATTCGAATGGAAATCCGGCCAAAAACGCGTCGTCCCTCCGCCGCGGCGGCCAACACCCCATCGGCGTCGCGAATTAGAAAATCCAATCTATAGAAACGCGGGGCGAAATTGCGGGCACGAAGCGTAAGAAATGTAGAGAGGGTAGTCGAGGAGGAATCGTCGGAAGGAGCGCGCGGCCGGAGGAGTGCGCGAAGGAGAGTTCGGCGAACGGGGGTGGGAAAAGAGGGGCATAACACAATTACATGTGGGGTCGAAGCCGGGCCGAGCTTGCTCTCGGCGGCACGACCTTCCGGCTAAGGCCGGGACGAGGGAAAGAGCCCAACGGTGGGTGGCAAGATTGAATATGAAAGTTTAATGCGAGCAATATCAGAGCCACTGCCCCGTCCCAGGGCCACTCGCTCTCTCAGACGTCTCGGCTATCAGGCTGCCCATCTTGTCCGTATCGCTCTTTATATCGCGGCCGCGCGTACGACGCCGTCCTCCCCGGCCAGCGCCGCGCGCCACCCGCCGCCGAAAGCGCTTCCTCCGATCTTTGATGTCACGGGGAAGCGCGATCCGTTGTCGCGACCGTGTTTTTCCAAGGGAATCCGAGCTTTCTTGCTGTCTAGAGGGGATGCGGATCGGCGTCCACTTGAACCGGCTCGGGAATCTTTGTACGAGGCGGATGTAGTTTCGGAGGGCTTCATTATTTTCCGAATACGCCTCGCTTCTTGATTCTCGATCGCTTCGCTGGATTTCGTGACGGGGCGTCGACTGGGGCGGAATAGACGAGAGGAAACTTTAGCTCGCTGGTTGGATAGTATTAATACTTTACACTCGAGAGGTATGCTTGATCTGATCTGACAATATTAGAAAG